TTAAAAGTTAAGACTTCAACAAGAAATATTTTGTAATATTTTTACAGGAATTTCCTTTATCCTAATTAGAAATAAAAGTTGTAAAACGTATGTTTACATTTTGTTCTGATGAATATCATAACGTATAAAACTACAATTAATAAAGCAATATAGCATAACTCAGAAGATAGATCTGTAGGACATAAAGTTCAAAGCCAAATCAAAGTTCTTGCATAATTTTATAAATATGTTTGACATTTTAGAGAAATGAGATTAGACCAAATTAAAAATTAATTAAAACTACCACTTTATAACATGATTAAATTTTCAACAGCTTGAAAATTTGAATAGAAAATTTAAAAAAAATCTGGGTTATTATTCGTATAGTCTCTGGTTAAGGATAGACAATCTTAATAGGATATCAAAATCAGACTTTTATAAATCATATTGACTATGTTGACCACCTAATATTTTTAATCTATACATTTAAAAATTCAAAAACAGGGGTTAACTAAAAAATTTCAGATCAGATAACTTTTGGAGCTATAGATACTTATTTAATTCTGTAGTGCTGATCATAGATCAGGAATACTAATGTAGATTGAACCTGCCTTAAATACTTAGCTTCTCTAATCATGAGTGTATTATATATTCATAATATAAATTTTGAGTTAAGGAATTTTGAGTTGTTTGAACATAACTGTCTTACTGTTTATGATTTTCAACGTATTTTAAACTAATGCTAGTCGTTTTTGAAACTCCTGTAGGTCCCAGTTATACGTCTTGTTCTGTAGCTACTAGGAGACCACGTGAGGTATCCTGCCATTAAGAGTGAAGGCCAGGGTTAGGAAGTTTAGTATATAATAATGAAATTATGTATTATCTGCCATCTGTTAGAAAATAAATTCCAAGAGAATAGGGATTTCAGTTTCTGGCACTAGGGTATTGGCCTCCACATACAAGCCCCCCCAGATTTTTTAAAATTAATAAATAGTGAATAGTAAGTATTGTATTCTTTTGTTGTCTAAACTTCATATCCTGAGTGATTTTATATCATCTCTGTAACCACCATTATAAATGGCAGCAGACTATTCCATCATCTGCCCATAATTTACATAATCATTTTTCTCATAGTAGAAATTTAGTTTGCTTAATTGTTTTCCTGTTATGTTATAATGAATATGTTTCTGCTTATACTCTTTTCAGTACTTACAAATATTTGGTTAGGGTACATTCCTAGAAATGGATGAAAAGGCAAGCATGTATATTTTTGCTTCTGATAACAAATTTTCAGTATGCTTTATTTAAAAGGAAATTCATAATTAATGTCAGTTATTTCAATTGGTATACGAACTACTCTGTATTTTCATAGTTAGGAAGTCCTGCTGTCTTTGCAAAAGTGCTTTGTAGATATTTTATTCATTTGAAGATTTACATTGGAAGTCTGAATCCTCATAAATAATACATTCATACAAGTAGAGAAAGGCAATGTATTTTGAGTAAAGCAGTTGACAGCAGGGGTAATGCATTCTTTCATCACTTAATACTGAGGAAATAGTAGGAAGATAATAACTGGTATTGATTTCTGAAAGTATTTAAACATGCCAATTAGGTAGGAATCAAGAAAATATCTCAGTGAATATTAAAAGTAGGCCTGTTATCTTTTGTCCTTCCTTTTTGAGGGGGATGGAGGGACTTGAGTTTTTAATTCATTTGAGAATTCATAAGTATTTTCTAGTTGCACATATTTTTAGCTTATTTTTCATAGAAGAAATTATCAAATTATCAAAATACTTCTGTCTGTTGAGTGCTACCATATTCATATTCATTGACCCCTTTATTTGCACATTTTGTTAAAAGTTAGTGACTTCCAGTTCCCTGGCTTGTTATGATCTGGATCTGTGGATATCCTAACCTCAGCTTCTCACTGCCTGCAAGCACCTTATTTTTGCCTTCCTCACCTGACAGAAGCTGGCTGCTAGTACTCCCTGTCCATGACTCAGCAGCCCAGGGCTTCCTGGGTCAGTTAATTCTCACAGATTATCTACAGGGCCCCTAATATTCTCCTGGATTACCAATCAGACTATGCCTTAATTGACATACTGGTTTTGGGAATGGATATCTCAAATTCATTTCCAGGGTCTAGATTACAATCACCTTCTTACATATTTCAACTAACTCTTTGTTTTCCAGTGAATGCTCACTTATCCTAAAATGTATTAATTCAGCACCTAGTCTACTTTGCCAAGCATGTCTGTCCCTTATTACCATCCCTAGGATAGTGTTATTTCTCTAATTTTACACACATCTAATAGTTGAAAAGTAATCACTGTTTTAGGACCACAAACTGCCCCCCCCCCAGTGTATGTGTTTGTGTGTGTATGTACAGTACCATGTTGCTGAGTTGTGGGATATATTCTGAGAAATCTACTATTAGACAGTTTCATTATAAAGTTACATACACAAACCTAGATGGCATTGCCTGCCTCAACTATATGGGACCAGCATCCTATATGATGTCTGTTGTTGACCTAAAAGTTATATAGCCCATGATTGCATATATGCACACACACACATTATATATCTACTCTATGTATCATTCGTAACATTATATGATGTACCTATTAAATATAGTATTCATATTGTTTGTGTATCATATAGAATATATGATATATATATATGATTTTTATAGACATACATCTGTTTATTCTGATTAATTTATATGTGTATGTATAATAAAGAAGGGGTTTTTTTTAACCTATTAAAGATCATCTACCAAAAACCTGCAGCAGTGATCACACTTAGAGGTGAAATGCTAAAAAAATATTTCCTTTCAGCAGAATGACTAATAAAAATTCAGAATCCCAGCTACTTCAGAGTAGTGTAAGGGAAATAGAAGAGAACATGTGACCAACACAGCACATAAAGGGCTCTTCTAATAGTCTGGTACATTCCCCATCATAACTTGAGTGGTGGAGTTGTTGTATTTATTATTATTTTTTAACTATATCTTATTTTGTAGGCACTTTTAAAGTAGATATTATTTATTTATTTATTATGATATCATTTTCAATATAATATTTTTAATGAATAAATGAGCAGTGTTCTACTGTGGTATTTTATGGATTAGTTTTTAAAAGTTGCTTGTCTGTGAAGGATTAAAGGTAAAAGCTGATTTTCTAGACATTCATGGGATCATAAGCGAGCACAGATTTTTGCATGTGCATTATTTGTTTTGTGCTGTTTAGCAAGTGTGAATTAGCCACATATTTCCTTTCATGTAGAACGACAGGAGAACAAGGTTAAAAGAAAACTCACAAGGTCCCTTCATGATGGGGTCAATCAATATTTTTCTCTTTGGAGAATTGCATAGTGGAGTATGTTCAGAATTTCAAACGATCATGGAAAGCAATATACATACTTATAAAGGTTTTTGAAATTAAAGGAGAAAAATCAATTTCATATATGTTTATAAATAGAATTTTTTAAGATCAGCAAATTCTGTGGAAGACTAATAGATGCCTACAAGACTATCAGGAACCTTTGATTCCAATTATAGGGAACTGTCTCCAAGGGTAGCCTTGCAAATTTAACCATGCAATAAAGAATGACAAATAAAGTAGGGGGTGTCATGGGAATCTTTACCAGAGCTGACTGTATTTAAGGTTTAAGCTTCAACATAGAAAAGAGAGAATATTTTCTGCTTCTTTATTTTCATTCTAAGTCTATTTTTATTTCTATTTTACCTCTCCTCTATTTCAGCCCACCTTAATTCAATGAAATGGCAAAAAAGATTTCTTTGCTAACCCCTTTCTAGAAGTCTAAAATGGAAATTAAAGTGCTGCTTCATTCTAACTGAATCTCTCTCTTCCCTCTGGCATTTGATTTTGGTTTCAACTGACCACATATAGATGCTAATTTCTTTAGTCCTTGAAATGGCCTTTCCTTTACTGTACACATATTACAGCATTATAAATGTTATTGTAGGAGACAAGCACATAATGATAATAATTCACTTATTATCATGCTTCCCCCCAACTTTCTAGATTTCACAAACTTTCCAAATAATGCTTATAAAATAAATTATAGACAGCTCCATGATAGTGATAAATTACTTTTTTAAAAAAAATGTATTTTATTTTTACCATAAATCTTTATTTTGTTAAGTCTCCATTTTCTTTTTCCTCTTCTGTGGTATTTTTTTTTCTTTGTGCTCTGTCAAGCCTCATTGCCTGTGATATCTCAGAATTATGAGAAATATTGATAAGATTTTTTTAATATCAAGCATGTGCCAGTTAGGTTTGTCAATAAGCTAGAATGAATTGGTGTGTGATAAAGACAAGATGCTATTAATTAAAAGATAAGCCAAGAAAACATGTTATTTTGTTATGATGATTTGAAAAGCCAGATGTCGACAGACTTATTCCATTCCTAAGAGAATGTACTGGGAAATTAACTGAAAACCACTTACGTTCGTTATGATGCATATTTCTTTTTGACAGGAGCTATAAAAAGACATATAAAGTAATAGGCTTTAGATAATTACCCCACTTAAAAATATATAATGTTTAGGGAAGATTTCCCAAAAGTAGGAGGAGCAAAGTCCTCAGTATGTAAGAATAGTTTTTTGAACAACCACCTTTTATATGAAACACCCTTAGCAATTTCCTCCAGACATCCATAAAAAGGGGGTTATAATTTACATTTGAATTAATAAAATGATGTATTTCCCTAGTTACATCTATAATGCTTTGCTTTTACCTAAATGCTTATAGGCACACCATGATTTTTAGTGCAACATGCTAATTTTTTAAATAGCTGAAATAACTATTACAAGCTCTAAAGCTTATTGTCATTTTCCTTCTTGATGGCACCATCTGTCAGAAACAAAAGCAAAGATAAAAAAATCTCATTGAGCTGCAAAAGATTCTCTATTGCTTAGTGCGCCTTTTATGGAGGCACATCTATCTGGAAAAAATTAATGCTATGTTTTAAAGAAAATCTCTTTTACTGCTTTGCAGATGGGGAACTCAAGGAGATTTCACCACTACCCATCCTCGGCCTGTGGTCAAAGTAAAACTCTTCACAGAAAGCACTGGGGTCCTAGCCCTTGAAGATAAGGAACTGGGCAGGGTAAGTGATGGTCAGCCCTGTGCATTCAGGGTGGCCCTATGTGAACTTAATTTGATTCTGAGGTAAGGTTCACACATAAACAGGGTGTGAACTTTCTGTCCATAAATTACATACATTATATATTTGTAATTTTATGCAATCCTACTTCATAGATCTAAGCAATTAAGCATAGTGGTCTATAACACAGGAGGTATCGTGAGAGGCTTTGAGTGCATATTGGGGACATGCAAGCTCACAGTCACCAACTCAGTCATTCTCACACACATGTACCTTGGCCACTGAAGGCGAGTGGTGCTGTCCAACTTGTCCTTCCTGGTGAAAGGTAATTCTCATTGACACATTGTCTGCTCATGGATTAAAAGGATCATCTTTATATGTGACATTATCTGCTCTTTATGTTCATTGTGACTAGCCTAATTACAGAGGTCTCTGAAGTATATTCATTTCTCTTACCTCTTCTCTTTTCCCTGTGGGAAGATCTTCCTCCATATCTTTTAACATGAAGTTTATTTTTTTCCCTATAATCACTTTTTCATATCTAGAATATATTTAATAGGCCCTGTGTACTCCCACTCTACTCAGTATCTGCTAGCATTAAATATTGCTTTTAGGTGGATACATGATGTCTCTCTGTGCAAGGTGATCTGTTTTTTTACAAAGTAGATGTATTCCAAGCAGTGGGCTGTCGGGCTGTCTTCTGCAGTGTGAATCTAACATATCCAAATCTAAAGACTGTTTTTATAGATAATTTTCAGAGAACAAACCCTTCTGAAATCTTAATTGAAAATTTCTGGTTGCGCTAGATAGTTTTCACGATGGCAGATGTTGAAAGATCCTAGGAGCATTCCAAATATTAGAAAATGTTATCCTTGAAGTCAGAATTTCTATTCATTTCAATTTCTTTTGCTCTTCTACCTCTCTTACACTCTTAGAATTATTCTACTTCCAGTGTCAGATTTCCTCTTCCATTTCCTTGATCTTATATTTGTTAATACCTAGGAGTTATGCTCTACTCTTCAGTCACTGATATGCTGACATGTTCATATATTTAGTCATTCAATAAACCATATATGTAGCATAATCTAACAGAGAAGCATCAGAGATTGTTGGAATAACTTTCAGTTTGCAGCTAGCAGCTATGAGCAGAACAGAGTGCTAGGAAAACCTACACTCATAGGGGCCTGACAGGAACACCTGCAGGATGGGGCGCTCTGCTCTAGCGAGCAGTCAGTGAAACCACATCTTCAGTGCTTGAGGTCAGCGTTGCCAGGCTACAAGGCCGGGAAACTGAGAGTTAGGTGCTTCAGGGCATGAAACCTCCAACTCGTAAGGCCCCCTCCCCTAGGGACAAAGATCTTTCCAGACTGCTTTCCACCACGAAGCAATATTTAGAGCTGCCTTATAGTGTGGTAACATTAATCATAAGTTGATTGGTTTCTAGATGTTGTATAACCTGCTTGCTTATGTATGATTGGAAAATGCATTCTATATCAATTGTAATCACTTCCACATTAAAGGAGCTTGCCTGGAGGTCGAGGTTGTTACCTGCCAGCACTCTCACCAGTTCCCGGTGTCTGTTGTTGACTGTGCGTCTCTACCTCCTGAGACAGAGGTAGCTGAGTGACGAGTTGACCACACCAGTGGACTGACCACCCACAAGAGATTACCTATCTTCCCTATGGATTGAGGAATCAGTTTTTTATTTAAACTATTATTACATTAATTCACTTTATTTCCTTATTGTAACTACTTTTCAGTATTTCACCACAGCCACCTTAAATATTACATTATAAATAATTCTTAAGATATTAACTGAAGCACTTTCTAAATTGGATATGTAAGTGTATCCAATGTGTATTTTCTACACAATTGCATATCAAAGGAAGAGCTTATGCTCCTTTACTCCCTTCATACAAGACGACTTTTCTATCTATGCCACCTAATTGTGTTTTATCTGGTACTATTTCAACCTTAGTATTTTTGATATCAATAAATTATCTTGTTTGGGATATCAAAAATATATATACAGCATTCTAGCCTGTTTATGTTATTTGTCAACATCCCTAACCACTAGTCAATAGATGCCAGTAGTTTTCCTGAACTCCCACCTACCAATCAAGAATGAAAAATGTCTCTAGATATTGCCAGATGTCCTATGTGGTGTATGCAAAATCACCCTTGTTTGAGAACCACTGATCTATACTAATGACCTATGTAGGCCCTAAGATTAAAATTACCATTTGTGCATCAGTGATTTCAATATTATTTTTCTTCCTTGGATTTTCAGATTTTTGTATAATTAACCTGAATACTTGGTATTTCCAATTGTATATGAAATAGAATGTGTAACTCACGTTCCTGTCAAGTCTTTCATAGAGGCTATCACGTCAGTTATCTAGATGTTCCTTTTGTTTTTCCTCTCTTGCCATAATACCCATCCTGTTTCAACTTCTGTCTGCTTTTCCTAAATTTTCCTAAATCCATCCCCATCTCAGTCTCTATTCCCCTAATTCAAGGCATTATCATTTCTCACATGTATTGATAGTCTGCTTCCACTTTCCCATTTGCCATCTTGTCCCGTCTTATCCAGTCTTTGCAGCCATTGTGATTTATTTAAAATTCAAAACAAATATTCTGTCCTTAAAATTAACCAGTGTATTCTCATATATTTGCAATAAAAAGAAGACTCCTCATCTTAGTGTAGCAGGCCCAGTAGGAGTTCTCAGGGCGTGACGCTGGACCAGCAGCATCAATGGGAACAAGACAGTTGCTAAACATGCAGATTCTCAAGCCCCACTCTAAGTCTGCTCAATTGGAAACTCTGTGGGGGTAGAGGTGGGGGTGCAGGACTGCAGTGTATTTTAACTAGTGCTCTTAGTGATTTTGACACACCCCAAATCTAAAGAACCCATGCTCTACAGGGCTGACCTCTATCTCCAAGTGCATTTTGTATTATACCCACCTCTTTCTTAATATCATCCTTTCCTCAAACCAGACTTTCCTTCTGTTTCTCAAACATGACTCATTCCTGCTTTAGACTTTGAAGCTCCAAATGTGTTATGGTCTGAGCACATGAGTATATACACACACAATTAGGAGAAATTGATGATCATCTCTGGATGCTAGGGCTGTTGGCAATGTGTTCTCTCTATCTAGTTTTATGATTAGAAACAAGAATAACTTATTTTAATTTTAAGGGAAAAAGCAAAGGTCTGAAATCTTTTATCTTTTTTATAGATATATACCTGGGAGCTTGTTTTTTTTGTTTGTTTGTTTGTTTTGTTTTGTTTTTTACATGAAACCTTTTTATTTAAAATTTTGAACATCTGAATTTCAAAGACAAATGACAAACACTTAGAACATTGATTCATACAGTGATATAGATAAAATTCAAATGTAAAGGAAAGAAGTCAGACCCAAAAAACTACACAGTGTATGATTCCACTCATTCTACCAAAAGAAAAATTATAGATGAAAAACAATGAGTGTTTATCAGTGATTTTCCAAGTGAGGAATGACTTGCTACAAAGGTGCCCATAGGACGCTTTTAGACTGAAGGAACTACTCTGTATGGTACTGTAGTTTAGATACATAAAACTTTACATTATGAATAGCATACCTTAATGCATGCAAACACACACACACACACACACACACAGCAGTATTAACAAGGAAATTCTACCTGGCATGTTAACTGAGGCAAATAAAAATACTTATATTGTAAAGGTAGAATGTAACTTCACTAAAAGGTGTAATGAAAAAAAAGAATATTACCTAAGTAACCTAAAGTAACAACAATAATCTGCAAAATGTACCTCAATCAACAGATAATGAAGATTGACACTACCAGTGATTTCAAGTGCATTTCATGTACCCCCAATATGATCTTATGAGATCAGCTTACTGAATATTTGTTATATTCTTTTCCAAAACCTCAATTAAAAAAATAGTCTAAGCATGAGAAAACAGCAGACCAACGCAGGCTGGGAACAAGGTAAGGGACCATTGTTCAGTACTCTTCAGGAATTTCAAGCTATGAAAAACAAGACTGATTAACTGTCACAGATAAGAAGAGACTAAAGAAATATGAATGCTAAATGCAATGTGGTGTTCTAGATTAGATCTTGGAACAGGAAGAGGATGTTAATAGGAGAACTGGTGAGTGAAATCCATATAACATCTGTGGTTTAATGAATAGAACTGTTCCAATGGAAGTTTCTTGGTTTTAACAAATGTTCCATGGTAATGTATGCTGTTTATAATGGAGAAAGCTGAGTGAGATGTATGAAGGAACTCTCTCTACTATCTGAATATCTTAAATTATTCTCAAATATGAAGCTGTGATGGGTTAATCTGGATTTTCAACGTGGAATAATAAAAACCTAAGAGCTGAAATGGTGACACATACCTGTAATCCCAGTGGCTAGGGATGATGAGGAAGGAGGACATTTTGCAAGTTCAAAGCCAGCTTAAGCAATTTGGCAAAGTCCTAAGCAATTTAGTGAGGCCCTATCTCAAAAAAAAAATAAATAAATAAAAAAGGTATTGGGGGTGAAGTGGGGATGTGGTTCAGTATTTAAGTATATCCCTGGTATCAAAAGAGAGAGAGAGAGAAATAGAAACGTAAGATTAAGAGACATATGTGTTGATGAGGGTATTTCCAGAAATCATTGATATGTGGGACAACAAACTGAGGGGGGAGCCCCCAAATGAGAGCAGCACAGTCCTATATTGCTGGGAGCACCAGTGGAACAAAAGTTAGAAGAAGGTGAAAGCCGATGTACACACAAGCTTAATTCTTCTTGAGTGTGTGCATCAGTGGCTGCTATGATCAGGTGAGGACAAAGGACTCCAGCACCTTCAGTGTTCTAAAGTAGAGTAACACAGAAATTGCTAACAGTAGTAGGGTTGTTGCTGTGACTAACCTGACCACATGATTCAGAAGCCTTTGGGGGGTGGAATTCCTTTTTTGGGAGGTGTTTAGAAAAGTTTGGAGATGC